GGTCCCATTTGGCGCACGGTCTGTCCCGGATCCAGTAGCCGGCCATCAAAGCCTGTCACCCATAGGCGCTGCTGCTCGACCAGCATACGCTGCAGGTGGTACCGCTTCTGATCCGCTTGAGCCTTCCACCTCGAAGTGAGTCTGAGGGGACCGACCACGCGCATACTCCACGACTCGGCCATGTCCAGCACAAGGTCAACACACTCGAAAAGTGTGATCAGACTGGCGCCTATCCAGAGCCCAACGCAACCGCCGATGTCGCTCAACAGGTGGCTGAGCGGATACTCGACAGTCTCCAAGACTTTGTCCATGAAGAAGCCGGACGGCTGGATGCGTAACATCAGAAAGTTGCGTTCGACAAAGTCGGTGTTCAAGAGGTCCACGCGACCCTGACGAACCACCTCGGTCAATCGCATCGGCGGCCCCGTTGCATTGGCGTGAGGAAGAAGAGCTTTTTCCGCCAGATCCGAGGTGTTGCCAAAGTGCTCCAACTCAGAGACCTCGATGCCGGCGAGCACCCGAAGCCAGTCGCGATGCGTGAAGCGATCACGTATTCCGGGATAACTCGACTGCGACACCACTCGGGTCATGGAGAAGTGTTCGCAGAGGTCAAGAAAACAGTGTTCCACAGAAAAGTGAGCTTGACTACGCAAGAGGCAGTCGTTCAGGTAGGAGATGTTGAACCTACCGTTGAAACAGAAGTCGAGATGGCTGATGTTGTTGCTGATGGGCAGAGAGTGAATCAGGCAGTGGCACTCAAGGGCCACACTCTGTTGGACAATGGTGTCGATACAATCGGCTTGTCTGGCCAGCACAGAATAGCTGGTACCACTTCCGATGTCGAAGAGATCGAGAATGTCCCGCTTGGAGGAGCACTTGCTCAGGTGGGCCAGATGAGAGACCCAGGTCATTTTGATGTCCACCTGGGTACAACCGTTGACGATGGCGCACTCGTCGCGCGGCGGGAACGTGCCAGGCTCGTGGATCATCAATGCTATTCCCGGGGGCAGATCGACTCCGTTGTGCAGGTCCCGTGTGAAGTCGGCAGGCCTGTCCAATGCCTTGTAGATGATCAACTTGAAGTCGGGTCGGAACTTTTTTTTGATCTCGCGGTGCCGAATGTCTCGCTTCATGTTCATCTTGGTGGCGTTCAGGGTGAAGCAAGAGCCCCAGGGCCAGAGACGCCGGACATCGAAGTGTTGCCAGTTGCAAGGCTGGTGTTGGTAATGACACTGTACCACAGCCGACCAGGCTGGATGTGTATAGTTGGCGTGGGGTTGCATGTACAGATAGTCGGACAACTTTATCTTGTTATTCAGACCCTTCGCCACCAACTGATCGTAGGCAGAAAAGTGTCGAACAAGCTCTTGGTAGGCAGACGAATTGCGAGGCGGAAAGTAGATCGAATTGACAAAACAAAAAGTTACGTCCGGATATATGAAGGGTTGGGCGTCGTGAAGAACGTTGGTGAGGATCGGTGTCTGCATGTATTTGTATATGAGAAAGTAGAGGTTGGTGAAGAAGCCGATTGAGGCGAACAGCGAAATAGCGAGCCAGAAGATGCGACGATGAGCGCTGCGAGCTTGAGCCAAGTGATTGAGACCATGAAAAGTGCTTCGCTGCGAGAATCGAATCAGGGTTGTACCGACGCGGTTCATTACTTGATGACAGTTCAGCTTGAAGTGTTGACTAGAGGCGGAAGAAATCGAGGGAATAGAGTCCAAAGAGGAGGCAACCGAAACGTCACCCTGGGGATGCGGGTAGACAGAAGACGGCGGGGGCACCGAGAGAAAATTACAGTCTCCAGCAGCAACAGGAGCCTGAGAAATTCTGCTCTCTATAGTAGTCACCTTGTTGGTGTTACTCTGCTCTGGATGGCATCTGCCAAAGACATACCCATATTTCGCCTGCTTTGCTCTGTCCCGACCTCCGTAGTCCCTGGACATTGTGTAAATAACTGAGGCGAGTAGCTGAGGAAGGAATAAATTGAGATGATTTCAAAGTTTTCTCAAAAATTTTCGTCCGAATAAGAAAAACGAAGAGGGTACTTCATGGGTTAAGGAGCGAATCGTGTTCCTCTAGCCCCTAGGGGCTGGTGCAAGAGGCATTAGCTAAGCAAATCGCATAACCTGGCAATACACTGTGAATCATACTCTATGCCTAGAAAGTACGGTTCATCTAGTCAAAAAACATATGGATGAAAGAGTTCAAGAAGCCTGTAGCTCCAGCGCTCAGATGACATTCCACCATGCCTTTCTTACACATTACGCAATAAATCGGAGCAGCGGTTAGGCCATGTACTGCTTCGAGTTAATTCGAAACGGCCAAATTGGTTGAACGATAAAAGAAGAAATCGGAGTCCTGATTTGTTGATGGCCAGAGCCTATCAGAATATAGTAATGTCATTCTGGCGATTTCTTAGGCTCAACTACTAGTAATTAGGATTTTGATTTTGGATTTATTATGTACCTAAATGGTGGGTTACGAAACCCCCCATAGAGGCCAAATTGAGTCGATGGAGCAAAGTTGTATTTACTATAACATACGACTACGTTACTTATGTTTCGTTTATAAGTAGGTTTTCGACAATCCCACCACATAATGTTATATGGCCTTCCTTGAAATTCACACCTGCCGGTGATCAAATGGCGCTTGTGGCAATATGGTATAGTCCTTAAGGCGTCGAGATTGCACGCCGCATAGTCATGGTTCGAGTCCCGCTGAGGGGATTGATGAGACCTAGACGAGGTCGAAACTGCAGT